CATGACACTGTGCCTCCTTAATCAGACTAGAAATGGAATATTTTCCCCTTGACACAGAGCTTGATAGTCTTTCCTTCTTTGGGCTGGGATAGACCTAATCCTGTCCTTTCCCTGCTTTTGCCTTATTCCTAGGGGCATTCTCCTATCTCACAAGTATACTAATTCCTAACAGTAGACACCTATGCATCACTAGTACATACAGCTCTGCAGACAATCCCAGATATGCACATCCAGATCTCAGGCTGGGTTGGTACTCCCAGCTTATTATAATTTGCTGTGATAAATATTAAGCTGTTACAGTCATCAGTCTATGTATGACCCTTTCATATCTTAGTTGATCATTTTAGGGTAGAAATCCAAAAGTGGAATTACTGGATCAAAGGATATAGACATTTTCTTGGCTCAATGTATACTGACAAATTGTTTTCCAAAAGAATTGTGCCAGCTTACAATACCATCATTAGTATTATTTTAAATTTAATACTAAATTAATACTAATTATTACAGGTGGGGCACAGTGGCTCATGCCTATAATCCCAGCATTTTGGGAGGCCAAGGCAGGAGGATCACTTGAGACCAGGAGTTCAAGATCAGCCTGGGCAATGCAGAGAGACCCCATCTCCACTAACAGTGAAAAAAAATTAGCTGGGCATGGTGGCACATGCCTATAGTCCCAGCTACTCAGAAGGCTGAGGCAGGAGGATCACTTGAACCCAGGAGTTCGAGGCTGGAGTGAGCCATGATTGTGCCACTGCACTCCAGCTTGGGAGACAGAGGGAGACCCTATCTGTCTTAAAAAAAAAAAAAAAGTATTATATATAAATGTTATAGTGATTATAATTTTGGTAGTAACAAGGTTTTAATTCATTAGGTAAAAGATATACATTTCCTTATTAATGATATTAAATACATTCCCCTTCCTATTTTTAAGGTTTGTATTTATTTTATAAATAGTGTCTTCTGTCATTTGAGCATTTATCTGCATAACTACAATATGATATTTCCTACTGGTGGCTACTAAGAGAATTATGGGAAAGTGTAGAACACTATTGAAATGCAAAGCATGATCATGCTTTTCTTATTTAATACGATTCCTGATTGACCTCAGTTTGAGCAAGAGCATCTGTCAATGCTGTTCTAGATTTTAAAAGAGAATACAGGACGTTAGTACATTTGGGACTTGCTGCCACTCCTTAGCTACGTCATAAAAGGTCAGGTGCCCTTGCTCACACTGACCTATTCTTTACCCCTCCTTTGTGCCAGAAGAGCAGAAATCTGACCCTTTGGGGATACCACCCTCTCCCCTACTGCTCTCTCCAACCTGAGGCAAACTTTCCCCCACTTCTCAGAAGTGGTGAGGTCAGCACTCCTTGGAATCCAGAACCATTTTCAGAATCTTGAACTTCTTTGACCTCTCAAGGTCTCCTTGTGACTTCTCTTTCTTTGAGTCTTGGTAGCCAGCACTGTGCTTGGCACAACCCAGTGGTCAGTCACCATTCAACTAAACTGATACTGTCTCCTGGAGAAGTTTCCCCACTGTCCATGTGTACCCCAATATTAATACCCCAGAAGCCCATGCTGTCATCTTCCTTAAAGTCTCAAAGCAATCAGCCCCCTTGTCCTCCCTTGTCCTGTCACAGGGCCTCTCTCCCTACCTGCCCTCACCTGTTTTGGACGGCAACCTTTCTTCTTTTCTAACAGATCTATTTCTCACATTTCCTTCCCTTCTAATAGGTCTCCACTCACCCTCTCTAGTTTGTCATACTCTGCCTTTAAAACATGCAAACATGTGCCTTATGGAAACAAAGACAACTTTTAATTTACCCTGCTTCTTCTTCACAAATGTATTGTGACTTCTTTTGGTAGCCCAAATCCCAACACTCTATACCACCCACTGCATCCAACGCCTCATCACGAAGGTAGTGTTAGAGGATGGAGCAAAGAGAGACTGCATGCCACTTCTGACTTCTCACACAAGTAAAGGCGTTCCAGTTATTGTTTGCTACCTTAAAGCAACAACCATTCTAGTATAGCTCACAATTTTGGGTTAGGAACTTGGTCAGAGCTCAGCTTAGTGATTCTTCTGTTCTCCTGGCACTGACGGAGATTACTCAGTTGTATTCAGCGGGCAGGTGGGCTTATCTAGAGGGTCCAAGACAGCTGTACTGTCATGTCTGGTGCCTTGGTGGGGACGGATGAATATGCCTACGTGCGGCTTCTCCATAGGACAGCCTCAGAGAAGTTTGATTTCCTACTTAGTGGCCCAGGGCTCCAAGAGCAAATGTCATAGTGAGTAAGTCAGAAGCTACCCAGACTTTTATGATCCAGTCTCAGAAGCCACATAGCATCAGTTCTTATTCTATTGGTCCAAGCATTCACAAGCCTGCCCGATGCAAGGGGAAGGCACATGGACCCTCACTTTTGATAAGAGTAATGTCATGTACTTGCAATTATGTTTTAAAACCACTACAGATAGAATCATGGAGAGAGATTCATGAGTGGAGCTGGGTGAGGGTTGGGGATTGACCAGTTGCTAGCGGAGGTTCACTAGAGTTAGCAAGGAATAATGCCCCCTCTTATGCATTTTAGTCATCCTACTTTGGGCACGCTCAACCTCTGCTTGGCCGTCAGCCTCACAACTTAATAACTCCACCATAGCTGCACTGTCTAAGATCACCAATACTATCAGAGCCAAATTCAATAGGCTTTTCTTTGTCCTCTTGACATTTCTTCTAAACTTGACACTGGTTAAGACTCAACATTTCTTTAATCATATTCTTAAATGCCAGGCTCTATGACTGCGTGCTACTGTTTCTTGTCCTAAATCTACCTTTGGCAAGGCCCTTTCTCCCAGATCATTACTCTGGGTCCCCCTGTGCGGTTTGGCCCTTGACCCCTTTTCCTACTCTTCTTGTATCACTCCCATGTAAAGTGGGCCCCTTTATCACGTCCATGTTGCTGACACCCAGATACTTCCCAGCTCTGATTTCTCTCTCTTAGCATGTACACAGTGTCCTAAGGTAGCTCTTTATTTAAATATCAACACTACTGTCTTCAAATAATTTCAGGACTTTAAAAGTTGGTCCAATCTTCTTAGCTCTAAAATCACCTCCCTTTACCAACTGCCTCATACAATCAGCCAGTACCATCACTGAGCTTGCTGCCCATGTTCTTCAACTTAGAGTCACCTCTGGAAAATCTTTGACTCCACATCAAATCATTGATAAAGCTCTACTGTCTATCAGATTAAATGTGACATTTATGTGAGGGCACTTCACAGTCTGTAAAGCGCTATAAAGCGCTACACAGATGATTACATGAATCCACACTCAGAATAGATTTTCAGGGTTTGCTACTCATTTGGCTTCTACAGCCTCATCTCTTACCAACTTCTTGCCCTACCTCTCTCTTTGTTCCTCGTCATCCAATTTCCCAACAGAAATGCACTCTTGTATATCCACCTTGCTTTCCCCAACATCTTTGCTTTTACACATGCCACCTACCTGCCTCAATTGCTCTTTGTTTCCACAAGTGTGTGTAAGGGAGAAACCCCACTGACTCCTTCTCCTGTTTATGTAGAGCCCACCCTACAGTCAGCATCGCCTTCCTCCTGCAAGCCGGGAAAGCCTGACCTCCCTCCAGAGCTCCTTAGGACTGGCTTTTTGCTCAGCACACACAGCCTTTACTTACAGAGGATTTGAAAATTATTCCTTAGGAGCTTCATGTCTTATTTCCCCTGCTCCTGGAGGAGGCGACTCTGGCTCCCACTGATTTTTTTATTTGGGCTTAGTTCAGTGTTGATACCAGGGGCCCAAGACAGTTGAATGGGGATTCTGGTAATATCTAAAGGATCTTTGGCTTATCTGACAGATTCTGGCAGCTGGGGCTTGACCTTTTCCCTTCCCCTCTTTCTCCTGTTTCCTTTTATTTCCCATGACTTTTTTAAAAGGCATTTTAAAAAAAGTTTTCAAAAGAATAAACACTCAAATATTTGCACAAAGAAGTAGGAAAAGCTCCTCCTCCCACAACAAACATATGTTAACAATGTTTAATTTACCAGCATAGGTTAAATTAGCAGTAGGCTAGCTGGCTTATCTGTGGAGAGCTGGGATAGCTCTGGAGCCACATTTTATACCGCTGCAAAGGAAAGCTGGAATAAAGGTGACTTTCCCAGGGTCAAAGAGTTGGTTAGCAGCAGAGAGGAAACCGAAGTCTAGCGACCCGCCTTATCCTTTCCACTGCACCCTCTAAGAAATGTAATTGAAAGGACCAAATGTAATTAAAATGAGCAAAAGAGACCTTTTGTACAGTGCTTTAGCAATTTGCTATTGATATTTGCTTCTGTATGTCTATTGTTTCATTCGACATCTTCCTTCAAAAAGTGATCCAACAAAACACTTCATTTCTTTTAAAAGTTCAGAGTGTTATTGACTTTTTTCCACGTCTGAATCTGGTGGTTGGAAAGGAATCCGGGGGATGAGAAGTTAAAAGGGGCGGAAAGGGAAGCAGAGAAAGCTGCAAGGTGCCTGCAAGGTGCTTGGGAGTGGGAGGAATGGGAGAGCGCCCGCTGGACCTTTTCCCAGGATCACAGTGCGGCGATCGCGCTTGTTTCCGGGGGTCCCCACCTGTTCCCCGCCCGAGCCGAGGGTGCGCAGGCAAGGGTGACAGAGGTGTCGCGCGTGCGGGCGACGCGGGGGACGACCGCCGCGGTGCGCCCCGCCCCCTGGGGCGCCGAGCGCGGGGCGCGGAGAGCACGGTGCTGGGCAAGGGCTCTTGGGGTGCAGGGCGGCTCCCCGGACGCTGAGCGAGGATGGGTGGGAGGGACCTGGCGCTCCAGGACACGCCTTTGCCAGGCCCCACGACCCGTGTTCTGAGACCTCGCGTAGCTCCTCCCGGAGCCGCCGGCTACATAAATCGCAGGGACGCAGCGGGTCCTCAGACACCGGGGTGACAGGAGGCGACGCTGGGGGACTCGGCCCGTTCCCGCGCTCCTTCTGCAGCAGCCGCCTGGAGACCTCCGTCGCCCCCGCTGCAGTCCCAGAAGTCAGGGAGGGTTTGCTGCGCGGCGGGACGGGCGTGAAGAGGGAGGGACAGGAACTTGCTACTTGGGGCTTGAGCCCGCTCCCCGTGCGCCCGTGCCTCGCCCGGCTCTCCAGCGACGATGGTGGGCCTGACAACCTCCGACGTGCACCCGACCATGGGGGTGAAGATCTTCTCGGCGGGGGTGGGCGCCTGCTTGGCGGATGTCATCACCTTCCCGCTGGACACCGCCAAAGTCCGGCTACAGGTAGCAGCCGGCCTGGGGAGGCGAGGGGCCTCCGAGGGCAGAGAGGGGACATCTGTTGTGTGTGTCCCTTTGATTCTCTGCTTTGGTTTAAACTCCCGTTCTCAGTTAAGTAGGGCAGGTGGTCGCCTTAAAAAAAAGTTTGTCCTTAGCCCCGGGGCTGGTGCTTTCAGGCGGGAAAACGGAACCTTTTCCAAAATTAACTGAAGAACCAGAAGGGCGGTGGATGCTGGGTTGGCCATGACCTCTAACAAATTCTCCCCAGTTAGGCTGCTCTAAGTGTTCTAAGAGCTAAGACTATCAGCCTCTCCTGAGTTTACAAATCGGGTGCTTTTCCCTTTCTTTTTTCATTCTGCGGGGGCACCGTCCCATCCCGCTGCTGCCACAGGGGTTCTGGAGAGGAAAGGGGGGTGTTCAAATGTGCATTGCAGCCAGCCACCCCCTTTATAGAATACATAGAATACATATATGTATAGAAACACGGGGGATGTGCTGAGAAGAGAAACTGAGAACTGGGAAAATCTTGGCTTAAGATTTCTCCATAGAGGACAGACGGGTGCCAGACTTCTATTTTTCCCTCACCAGAGAGGCCCCCACTACTCATTTTTCCCTTCCCTCTGACCTGCGCCTTTCTCATTTCCAGGTCCAAGGCGAATGCCAGACCTCCAGTGCCATCAGGTATAAAGGCGTCTTGGGAACGATCACCACTCTGGCAAAGACCGAAGGGCCAATGAAACTGTACAGCGGGCTGCCCGCGGGCCTCCAGAGACAGGTCAGCTTCGCCTCGCTGAGGATTGGCCTCTACGACACGGTGCAGGAGTTCTTCGCCGCAGGGAAAGAAAGTAAGCAATGAGTGTTTCTGAGAAGGGCAGAAAACCCCTGAGCTGGGCTGTGTCCTAAAAATGTAACACACACAGGGCAGTGGTCTTTATAACAAATTGGCAAGGAAGAGAGAAAAAAAAAAACCAATATTTGAACTCTCCCCCTTCTCCAAATATTAGCTCCTTGTTCATAAAAAGAAAAAAGTGTGCAAAATCAATTCTTTAGATGCAGGTTTATACTTGTAAAAATCCCCCAGTCAGTCATGGAAGTTTTGAGCCTAATTTGGGTCTCCAACCAGAGGGTATGATGGGCTCCAAAATCATGTTTAAGTCAAGGTTCACCAAACAGCAAAGTATATCAGAAATATCTATGGAGATTGTTGAAAGTCCAAATGAGGACTGCCGCCGTGCCCTGAATCTGAATCCTCCCGTTGTGGACAAGAGAATCTGTGATTTCAGAAGCTCCCCTGCTAATTTTGGCATGCAAAAAAATTTAAAACCCTTTAGTCTGAAGAAAAGAAAGCCAGACTTTGTGTAGAGAGTTGAAAGGACAGGAAGAGACTTACTTTGAGAGGTTCCTTGTAAGGTCTCTCATGCTAGGAAAGACCAGACATGAAAAAGGGGACTTATGCTGCAGTCAGTTTGTTTAGGGGAAGAACAAAACTAATACTTCCTGACAGCCAGTGTACTCGGAGCGTCCCTGGCAGTCTAGCTAGCATTTCTCTGTGCGCTTACTATGTACCAGGCACTGTTCTAACTGCTTCAGATACATCATAACTGGAAAGGTCCGAGTGTTATTATCCTGCATCAAATGGGGAAACTGAACACAGAGCAGTTGTGTAACTTGCTCAAGGTCACACAGCTATTTAGGGGCAGAGCCAGAGTTCAAACCCAGGCAGTCTGGTCTTTGACCCCAGGTTCCCAACCCCTGTACTCTATTGTCTTCTCCATTTTGCATGCTATTCTGTACCTCATTCGAACCACACAAGAATGCTGTGAGCAGAACGTGTTAGTTGAATATCAAAGAAGTTAAATACCATGCACGAAATCACACAGCCAGTAAATATTGGAGGCACTTTCATGTGGAGCTGATGAGCCAGAGAGATGTGCTGATGGTAAAATGATTATATTAAGTGACTACCTAAGTACATTTTGTCATTTCTGCTGTAACCTTTGAATGTTATAACTTTATGGGGTAATTTGTAAATATCGTTTATACAAATATATAAGTTAGACTTAACCACACAAGTACTTTGAAAGTGAAGATAAAGTCTGGACGTTTCTAGATCAATACTGCATTGTCATGTATATAGATGTGGCAAGAGAAGAAACACAAAGGATGTAAATCCACCCATACAGGTGGTTTTACTCACAGACTGGCTGCTCTGACGGTTGCTGGGTGCCTTAGGCAGTATTCTGTGTTATGCCTATGCAGGTCACTTAGTAAGCTTGACTGAACTGTGGTAGATGCACAGATGACAGATGCGTCTCTAGGAAGAGTTTACAGTTAAGAGTATGGGGTGTGTGGGCAGAAGAAGTTAATGGACATGTGCTGTGTTTTAAGTACAGTCATGCTTTGCTTAATGATGGGGATACATTCTGAGAAATGTGTTGCTAGGTGAATTATTCCTTGTGTGGACATCATAGAGTGCACTTACATAAATCTAGATGGTACAGCCTACTATGCACCCAAGCTATATGCTATAGCCTTTTGCTCCTAGATTATAAGCCTAGGAGCAAATACACTATACAGTTTGTTATTGTACTGAATACTGTAGGCAGCTGGAACACAATGGTAATTATTTGTGTATCTAAACATAGAAAAAGTAGTGCATTGTGCAACATCATTATAATAGCTAGGATGTCACTACACCATAGGAAAAAAGGTAGGCAGTAAGGAGCCAGATCACAAAAGGCCTGGCAGGCAATGCTAAGGAGTTTGAATTTTATCCTTACAGTGGTGGGATGTCATTGTAAAAATGTCCAGCAGGGAAGTGGCATAAACAATTTATATTCTCAAAAGATCACTTTGATAGCAGTATAGAGTATATATAGAAAAAGAATAGGAATATTTAATGATAGGAACAAGGGGTAAGTTAGAAAGTGAGAAATGATCAGCGCATGCACTAAAGTATTGGCAGTAGGGAAGGGGTAGAGAGGTCAATCAGAAAGGTCTAGGAAGCATGATTGAGTGAATTTGGTGAACAACTGGAAGTAAAGTATAAGGAAAAGGTAGAAATATAAGATGACTTTCACGTTTCTGGCTAAAGATACCACGTATTGAGGGAGGGAATATAGAAACTGTCTTAGGGGGAAGGTAAGAAATTCATTTTAGGACAGGTCAACAGGTAACGCCTAGGAGGTACGTGAGTTTAGGAGAAAGGTCCGGACCAGATTCCAGGAAGTCCCAGCAGGGATTATCAACAGGGTCAAAGAGAGCAGAGAGATCTGGTGTGCAGAGGTAGAGAGGACTGAAAAGTGACCACAGGACCTGACAAATTGGGGCTCACGGGCTTCCTAGCAAGAGCATCTTCAGCTGGGTGAAAGGGATAAGCCAGGTTGTAAAGGACTGAGAAGGAAATGGGCTCTGAGAAGTAAAGACAAAGAATATATCTTGTAAATACATTTCTTTTAGTTCTTAAAAAAAAAAAGAAGAAGAAGAAAAAAAAGAAGATAGTGTCTCTCCCAAAGAGCTGGACTGGGAAATGAAAAGGGGGTCGGAGGGTTGGGGATCAGAGGCTAGGATGAGTGCATCAGTACATCAAGATAAATGACAAATTTGGGCCAAAGGTGAAGGCAACAGTAATCATACAATATTGCTAATTAAAAGATACTTACCTATTATACATTCAACTCCCGGCTGAGAATAATGAGAAAAGAGTACAATCATAATAGTAATGAAAAAAATTACTGCCATTTTTGTATATTTTCTTTGTGCCAGACGGTATTTTAAGTGATTTATCGATATTATTTCAATTCACACAACAACTCTATGAGGTAGATATTATTATCCCTATTTGACAGATTAGGAAACAGAGAGACTGAGAAGGTCCTTGCTGGGTAAATGTTATTGAATCATAACTTTATATTTAATTATAGGAACAAATATTGGGCTTCGAGACTATTTGTAGTAAACGATATCTGTCTGGAGTAACATAAGATAATTTTTTCAACATTTCAAGACAAGAAGCACTTCCTTAGGTTCATTCTTCTTATTTTTGTCTCCTTCACATGTTGTGGCCTAACACTGCTTGATGTTCCATATTGGGACAACTTGTCCACTGGGCTTTTCCTAAGACTGATAAGTCCAATAATTGACATTATCCTTCATGGGAGGAAGACCAAGCGTCATTGGGGACTGGTGCCTGTTTGCAGTTGGGAATTACAGAAAAAGAGAGCTAAACACCGGAAAAAACTAAGCTGACTACAGGAAAGAACAAAGCCACTGTTTAAATAGGCACTGTGTTTTCTTTTTCCTTGAAAATCTTCATTTTTTGAAAATTTCAGACAATTGAAGTTTTCTAGCCCAACTCTGAGTTCATATATGATCAACCCACGGACAAGCATTTGGGAAACAGAAAAAATATAAGAATACAACAACGCAAACCACTAAAATTAAAAAGATGTACATGCATTCTGGGTCTTGAATTTTTTTGTTAATAAATACCTTCTCTCTGGGTAGCAACAAGCCTGGGAAGCAAGATCTCAGCTGGCTTGACAACTGGAGGAGTGGCAGTGTTCATTGGGCAGCCCACCGAGGTCGTGAAAGTCAGACTGCAAGCCCAGAGCCATCTACATGGCCTCAAACCTCGCTACACTGGGACTTACAATGCTTACAGAATCATAGCAACAACGGAAGGCTTGACGGGTCTTTGGAAAGGTAACTAACTTTGAGGCAGATTTTATAATCATCAAAACACATATATCCAATTGGCACCTTATCTAAAACAGAGTTGGTAAACCTTTTCTGTTTTTTTCCAGGGACTACTCCCAATCTGATGAGAAATGTCATCATTAATTGTACAGAGCTGGTAACATATGACCTCATGAAGGATGCCCTTGTGAAAAACAAACTACTAGCAGGTAACTTTCTATTTTACAGAACACACAGTTTTGCACCTTTATAATTTTATCTTGGAGTTTCTGCAGCCAAATTAGACTCAAACTTTAATAATTTTCTCTTTTTAAAAATTTAATTTAAAACATTATATATGCATCACTTTTTGAGACACAGAAAAAGATCCAAACCTTAAGTTTAAGATGTTTTGCGTCAACAGAAGTTTTTTGCAACAACAATTTTTGTGGCTGTTTTGCTGCAACAAAAACAACATGGAACATCATTCTTATGTCAACATTATTCTCATTTAATATAATACTAATATGTGGGACTTTTATTAGAATTTTTTTTTCTTTATGCAGCAGAATTCAGGAAGTTAAGGTCCACCCTGTGCTATATTCAATAGAGCTAGTTATATAAGATTATCAGTGGTTTCATCCAAAAAATAGTACCAGAAGATAGGTTCTCAAAAATAATATTCTAACGATTTCTAGAGACATTAAAATTTCCTTGTACAATGACTTTTTTTCAGTTGGATTTGTTTTATGAAGGTTTAACTTTATCCATAGTTTTATAATTGTGGAGAGGAGAGCTTCAGTGTTTTGAAGATTCGTTGCTAATGCTTTTGCAAAGGCCAGTGGAAAGCAAATATGGATTTGCTTGAATTTTAGAGAGAAGAGGATGTTTGAGAATTGCTGAATTGGGACATAAGATCCCTAACTCTCTCTGAATTGTGGAGTAGGATGTAAGTGTAGCCATCTTTAGTTTGTGTCTTAAGGGACCTGGCAGTCTCTTGATGAGAAGGCATATCAGAGATGGTTTGGGAGGTAAGTGACACTGTAGGCCAGGAGATGCCGTGAGGTGGGCCTGAGCAGCAAGGTTGTGCGTGTTTTCAGCAGACTAAATTATGCCTGCATCTTCTGGGATGAGCAGAGTGTCTGGCACACAAAGGCCTCAGTGGACAGTGCTGAACATAACAGACCTAGCACAACCGTCTCTCATGGTTCTATTTATGCTGTGTTGAGGCATTACCAAACCCTGCTAAGCCCTGGACTGGCAACTCTATGCATGCAGGGCCCAACTTGTTCATCTCAGTGTCCCCTGTACCTGGCCCAAGCAGTCTCTAGGAATGGATAAATTCATGGGCACTCCCAAGGGCCCAGTGTTCCAAAGACCGCAGACTCCCTGAGAGCGGGGGTTAGTCTGCTGGGGCTCCATAGGTAACAGGGAACCCAAAAGATGAGGCAAAAGGAGGTATATTAGGCATCATGCCAGGCCCTAACATCACGAAGAAAATTGACAGGTTATTTTCCTAAAGTGTTCATAATCCACTAGCCGTTTACTATTTGCCATCTTTTTCTAGTACAAGCATAACCTTTTTTATTATATGTCATTTATTTATAAGACATCCACATTGACCTCCTGTTATCAACAGGTTTACAAGGATCTGACAGATAACTAAAACTACAAGCCCCCAAAAGTCTAATGTCAACCTGTTTCATTGATCCATTTTAGATGACGTCCCTTGCCACTTGGTGTCAGCTCTTATTGCTGGGTTTTGCACAACACTTCTCTCCTCCCCAGTGGATGTGGTGAAAACCAGATTTGTTAATTCTCCACCAGGACAGTACAAAAGTGTGCCCAGTTGTGCAATGACAATGTTCACTAAGGAAGGACCAACAGCTTTTTTCAAAGGGTAAGATACGATCTTCTACATCTATAATGTGTTCAGGGTGTCTGTGTGCTTTGGGACGCTGCCTCATCTAAACAGCTGACGTTTAGCTTACTGGCCTTAGTACATGCAGTATACTAGTGTTGACTCTTCCTTGCCCCAAATTCACCACTTTCACTGTGTCAGAAAATAAAAAACTGTGATATTAAAATTTTCCCAACCTTGACTGAAGGCTCATTGGAAATCAGCGCCCTTTCCATTGGAAGTTCTATGATTTCACAATCTATTAGAAACATAGATAGTGTTTTGCTTTCTCTGGGCAGAAGAACTAAAAGCAGAGGCAATGCATACTAGAGAGCTATGAAAAAACAAGATTTTATTTTCACTATTTTAATTTGATGGACTCAATTTTTAAAACTATACTAAAGCAAAAGTAGGGAAAAGTCATTGCCACCAATCTAGAAGAGTGATTCAGAAAATTATGTAGTTTGGGTAATTATTACACTCACCTAAACACTAATATTATGTAATAGAGCACATTTTCCCATAATGCAATATTATCTTATATTGGAAACTACCTTCCTAAGAAAATATAGTATGAACTAAAGTGTGGATACATTCAACAAGAATTACACCAGGGGTTAAATAATAAAATTCTATAACCCTTTAAAACTGGAGGACAATGCCTCAATCCTTATAAAATAAGCATGAATGCACTATACACATATTTAAAAGTTCCAATTCACCATAATCTGCATTTATGATGCATTATTACAAATTAAATGCATTGCAAAATTAACTTAAAATGGACATACCAGTTATTAAACCATTAACCATTTAACAATAATTTTATTTTTTTCAAATTTAAAAACCTTTTGGGGGAGACATACTCCAATATGGACAAACCTCAGAACATTATGCTAAGTAAAATAAGCCATATACAAAAGGACACATACTGTATGATTCTACTTAAATGAGGTACCTAGAATAGTCAAATTCATAAGGACACAAAGGAGAATAGAAGCTGCCAGGAGCTGGGAGTAGGGGGAAATTGGGAGTTATTGTTTAATAGGTACAGAGTTTCTGTTTAGGGTGACAAAAAAAGTTCTGAGAATGGATGGTGATGATGGTTATGCACAATGAGAATGTACTTAATGCTACTGAAATGTACATTTAAAAATGGTTACAATAGTAAATTTTATGTTATTTATATTTTTTCCCAATAACCAACCACCCTCCCTCTCCCCCAAACACACATACATCTGGTATTCAAGAGAAACATATTAAGAGACCTGGTGAAAAAAATCCTTTGATTTGAATTTATAGCCCATGTTAAACAAAAAAAAATCTATCCAAGGCAGATTTAACTGATGACATTTTTTCTCCTGGAACATTTCATTGCTGCAAATAGGCATTCAAATCAGTCAGTTTGCTTTCTTCTCTTACTTTCTCTTTTAATAGTTTCTTACCTCACATTCTGCAAAGCAAAACCAAATCAAAATTTCCCCTCTTCTCAAAAAAAAAAAAAAAAGAAAAGAGTTTTTTGGAAAAGCCCATATCAGAAAAAAGATATGGTGTTTATGGATTTGTATAGATGTGATCACCTGGTTTTGTTGTTTTCAAGTAGTATAGAACATCAGAGGAAATCTCATTTTTGGCAGAGGAGGGAAAGATGAAGATGAATAGATACTTTTAAGCATCTTCATTTGAGGAGTGGCAACATGAGAAGAATAAACTGCTACAATAGCTTTAAGAATTTCAAACAAACTAATAGAATGATGACATGCACTTTTCTAGATTTGTACCTTCCTTCTTGCGACTCGCATCCTGGAATGTCATTATGTTTGTGTGCTTTGAACAACTGAAACGGGAACTGATGAAGTCAAGGCAGACGGTGGACTGTGCTACATAATCAACTTCAAGGAAAAGATGTAATATACCAGTGGGCATCTTTGCTGGCTGGATCAAACAATTAAAAAAATAAAAAACCAAAATCCTATTCACTTTATTTCAACCTAGAAAGACAAAGGAATTCTTTAGGGAGTTTTGGACTTTTTTATATTAAAAAAAGAGGAAAACTAATATGTGTTTCATATAACTTTTGTTCTCAGTGTCTTAAGCAAAACATTCAGTATATATCCTGGCAAAAAATGTAATGCCCAGATAAGTTACTGCATTTGACTGGCCGTTTTGGGAGTGGAATTGTATGATTGAGTATGAAGAACTTTAACATGTTTGAATTATAATTCCAACTGGTGGAAAAGAAAAACTGTGTGGAATGCAGTTTATATTTATAAATACCTAAAATATGAAGTTATCAAAGAAAACATTACTGTTTCTTTTTATTTCTTAACCAGAGTTGTCAGTTAATATAGTCAATAAAGTATTGCTAATGCCTTTTAAAGTTTATCTTTTGGGATCTGTACCTGGATGTAAAAGTGGAAGTTTACCTAGAACACAAAATCGTCCAATAGTAAGTGAAGGTCTTTAGAATCATAGGCATAAACTTACTCTCAATGCTATTAGTACAGATTTTTAATTCGTAGAGTCCATATTTTTTGACATCCATAACAACTATATTCAGTTGGGCATTATTGTCCTGGTGTCTGTCTTAGACTCATAGAATTTTAGAGCTGGAGGGCACCTTGGGGGAAGACAGAGGAACAGTCTGAGAGTCTTACTGAGATGAAATGGAATCTTCCTGGCATCTTTCCAGCAAAGCCAAATTCAAATTCATCATTAGTATCTGCAATAACCTTTTTCATGCCTACAAACTATATGCAGAAGAGATAGGGAAAGAGTAAGCCAGAAATTCAAAAAAGTATAAGACAAGTCATAGTCTTGTTTTAAAACAAAGACTGGCAGAAGAAGGACCAGGAAGCCTCCAGGCTGTCGGGCATCACTCTATTTCTGTTTTAATCTGCTTAGTGTTACATTCACTGCTGTGGTTTTCCCCTTCTCTCCATGCTTATCGCCCCCATCTGTTACCTATAAAAGCCTCTTGGAGCAGATGTCTCTAGTGTCCACACAGACTGTTGTGCTCTTACCTCTTTAGTGTTTGCTGGCCTGACTTCCATTATCATGCCAACACCTGCCTTGTTTAGACTCTTCTGGCCTCCAGAGCCAGCTTTCCCCACCTGTGCATGGCATGCTAGAAGAGCTGGGAAAATATTACAGGCCTGGGCACAGGCCCACACCAATTGGATAGTAGTGTTGTACACATATTTCAGTTCCCTCAACCCTCCCTGGGAGTGCCACTGAGGCATCACACTCCTGTTACACCCAGTGGTATTTTGCTTCCTATAAAAACTCTTGATGGCCTGACTTCAATTCCCTATCTGAGTGCTCTACTCCCTTACCAGTTTTCCTGGGATCATTTCCCATATGAATTGCAAATCCTTTTCTCAAGGTCTGATTTGGAGGGATTCCAAACTAAGACAACCCACAACCTTACAGTGTCACGTTTCTTTCAAGAATAAAGAAGAAAACTTATAAATCAATTCTTTGCCGGGACCCCGGTTAGGCCAAGGGCAACAGCAATTGAGGGAAGCAGGTAAGCCAATTCCTGGTACACAGAGTATCAGTCCTGGGAAAAATATCTGAGGGCCTGCTATGTGCTACACACTGTGTATACAGTGGCTCTGCCCCATACAGAAGGAAATCAACCTGGTATCAGAATGCATCCGGGGATTTACTGAGTGCCCAGGTAACAGTCTCAGTGATGTCATATGACAGGGAACACAACCCCAGAAAAACCCTCTATAGAAGGCCTAAGAATCACCATGCACTGATTTTTCTTTTTCATCCAAAATAAATGGCAATAATCACAGTCCAATACCTTGTTATTTAACAAGGTGATGCATTACCTGAAACAAGGTAAGATATAAAGTCTGCAAATCTCCTGCTTACAAATCATGCCTGCTTCCTTCTGTCTTCATTTGTTAAAACGGGAAAATTTTTATTGTGGAATATAACACGTATACAGAAAAGTGCATACAGTAAATGAACATTTTAGTATATTATTACAAAGCAAACCAACAGGTATTTACAGTGAAGCTCAAGAAACAGAAGACTGCAGGCACCCAGAACCACCTCCACCCCTACTAGGACCACCACTCACAACTGGCTTAACTTCACTTTCATGGTAAATGGGGTGTGTGTGTGTGTGTGTTTGTGTGTGTGTTTCAAAAACCAGTAACTTGACTGGATGTTAAATTTTTACCAAATGCTTTTTCTGCATCCAAGATCATATGATCTTCAAATGTTAATGTGGCAAATTCCATTAGTTTTACTCTGGGCATTGAGGGAACTGAGCTGTAATTTACCACATATTAAAACTATATCTATAGGTCATTATTATTAAATTTAGTCTTTCTGGATCTAGTATGCTAATATTTTATTTAGCATTATTGCATCTACAGTGACAGTGGCAATTTTTCTTTTTCATATTGTCTTTCTTGAGTTTTTTTTTTCTTTCTTTCTTGAGTTTTAATCACTAAGACATAACAGTCTCACGAATTTCAGTGTCTACATTCAATTTTTTGTAAGGGTGTCTGAAAACTGACATTATGTTATTTTAAATGTGTTATCTAACTCACTTGTGTAAGCCATATAGAACTGTAGATTTTCTAGTGGAAAGGGTTTAACAGCTCTAGGACTTTTGTTCTCATATGGTTTCTTGTACACTTCTTATAAGTTGTTATAAGTATTTTTCTAGAAATTGTATTTCACCTAAATTTTCAAATTTTTGAAAAATTTTTTCAGTATCTGTAAGATCTCTAGTGATGTCTCATATTTCATTCTTGACATTTGCCTTCTTTTATTATTAGTCTTGACAAAGTTTATCAAGATTAGCATTTCTAAGCAAAAACTTATTTGTGTTGACCCTATTATATGCTTGTTTTTTATTATATGCATTTAAGCTCTTTAATATTTCCTTCTCTAATTTCCTTAGGTTTATATTGTTCTTCAACAAACTCCTTAAGATGGATGCTTTCCTTTAATTTCAGCCTTTCTATTTTCTAATATATATATTTAAAGCTACACTTAGTACTAACTTTAGTTAAGTACTGCTCCAGCCTTATCCAACCAGTTCTATATGTAGTATTTTTATTTCAAACAAGATACACACATCCACACACACAGAGGAATCCTATGCAGCTAGAAAAATAAATAAATAAACTAATGAATTAGTATGGAAATAGATCCATTTTATGATGATAATAGAACTTTTATGTAAAGTTAAGGAAAAAACAGTACGGTGTAGTATGAATTATTCCTATCATTGTAAAAACTGAGGGTGATGACGATGGCTTTTAAAAAAAAATTGAAGTAAATTTTTGGTCTCATAACTAGTTATTCACACTCAACATTACAAGTAGATAGTTAAAAATTCACAAAAATCAAAAAAGTTTTTTTGTATATTCTGACTTACCTATAGTAAGCAACATGATTAAATAAGAAAAATGTTTCATGGACACATATGACATACATAAGGGAAGAGGAGTATGGGGAGAGAGCAGAAGTATGAATAGAAAAGCTTACCACAATTTCAACGTGTTTTTTTATTTGCTCACTTAACATTCCAAACAAAATGACATTTTACACATTGCTTTTACATAAGTCAACTGCTTTATCCAAAGTAGACAAAAATCAATTCCTTTAAGTGTCCAACTGGTACTTTTTCCTCCCAGAGAAAGCTACTGTTTAAATACTTTTTGAATACTTCAACATAACCATAGAATTGTCCTATCACAGTAGTTGAGTCTTACCTGTACTACATTTTTTTTCATAGAAAGCTGAAGACAGGGAAAAAAAAACTTAAGTCATGATTCCTCTCAGATTTTTAACAATTCCATTAATCTTCATTTAAAAATTGCTGTGTCGAGAGGTTCATAAAATGAAAATGGAAATTAGGCCTCCCCACACTTGTCCATAGGGAAGCGGAGTAGAGCATTTATCCTGAGAAAATAGCTGCTGGTCCCCAATTATTATTTCAAGAAGGCTAATAAATATTATTGCCCTTCAAATCAAACCTCCTCTCTCTTCCGTGCCATGATAATGTGTAACCTTTTGTGTTTTGCCAACGAACATACACTTTTCACACTTGCGTGATTCTTCTCCTTTGAGCAAATCTTTGACTAAGTTTCATTCCGCTGAACATTCTCAAAGGGGAGAAAGAGTGCATGAACAATTATGAACACTGGAATAAAAATGAAGAGTACATAGATTTTCACTTAGAAAAATACATACAAACACAAGTAGCTCTTAACACAGGAAAAAACATCAGTATGGGCATTTTTAAGAAAATGATTCTGTTTTCCAAACTGTAAATGGTACCAGTAAAACACTGATTTTTCTATCTAGCTCTATCACCGCATTATATACAAAGAAAGGTTGATATAGGTTCACTGATGCCCCCTGATTTCTCAATTTCTTTAAAGATTGTCTTTCAGAACTAAACTGTAACTGTTAAATTTTTAGGTTACTATTGTCACTGGTACACTCTCTTCAATTGGGCACATAAAAATTCATTTCAACAGTGATTCATTTTTTTAATGCTAAAACTAACAATTTTCCTGCTACTTCAATGCCATAATATTCTATTACTACTTTGGCATTTTACTAATTATTACAGAAACAGGTAGGATTCCAAATATGGATTTTAAGACTACATAACATTCTAACATACATATGTTGAAAGTAAGGGAAATTAGGAAGGTAGATGCAATTACAATATTTTTCTTTCATGTATATCATTATCACATGTAAGTCGGAAGGCTCATGTTTCATTCTAATTTACAATTGACATTGGTGACATTTTGCTTGACTTCTAGACTATCAAACTGCAGAATTTATTGGTGGCTTTTGGATCAATTTGCTATGTAACTATCTGAAATAGTTACTGATCATTTTAAGCAAAAACAATGATATCTATAATGCACAAACAGAGATGGATTTAAAGAACATATTATTGAGCAAACTTTAAAATGACATTTTCTTAGCATCATTATAGTTTTTTTTTCTCCTTAGAAGGGGAAAAACTTAAGTTACATTAAAATTTTTCCCTTCCATACTCAAGCATTCTTTTATTAAGTATACTGACAAAGGTTTAAATCAGTCCAAGATCTCAGCTGTTTAAAGATCAAAATATAAAGATAAGTATTTTCAATACAAACATTAGAAGACTAACAGAATTGCTTTACATGTTGTAGTTAATACCTTAATACAATGAACTTTAATAGTTAACACCTGATCCTCGTCAGGATTTTGCTACACATCATAAAACTCTAGCTGGATCATAACGCATGAAAACATTTTTAAAAATTAAGTGAAGATACTCCCAAGATTGAGAAGTCCCCTATAAGAAGCTGATTTTTAAATTCCTATAATACTGAAAAGCTGAATTGCCACTATTATAATAAAGTGAACCAAATTTTAAAAATAGTTTTATCTTATTGAGAAAATAATTTTAATGCATGAACCTTTAATGTATGTGCTATACAACACTGCATCTGTTATTTTCCAATTAGATATTGCTTACCACTCTTCACTTTTACAAGTTTGAAGAGAAAGGTTTGGCAACTGACATGAGCAAATACCAAGTCTTGCTCTGTCACATATAAGCCAGTCCATAAACACTTGATATATACCACATTAAAAGATGTGCTAAATATCATGTTTTAGATGAAATTATGTCTTTAACAGGTTGGTTTCCGTAGCATTTAAGGAAAATTTAGTAATCAGATGAACTTTCCTATCTTTACATTTTAGTTTTGTTATAAGTACAAATGTCTAAAACACACCAAGAAGAAACCATTCCCATTAGAATCTCATTACTATATAATCCCTGACAAAACTTGCTGCCCTCCTGAGATTTTAGGAGAATAAAGCTATACAAAATACACAGTCATCCTCCTCAAGCTATTTCAGTATCCCACAGACTTAACATAAAGTCTACATGCCATTATCTAGAAACACCATGGAGCCAAGCAAACAGGTAACAGTAAGTCAAATAAACCAATGAAGTTTAACTGAGATTTTTAAAACCCTTTAAGTTTTCCCCTTTTTTAAATCTCAAAGACAGCTTTATTGAAATAGAAACTGTCTTTTGAATGCAATCGAGATTTTCTTCACAATTACATCTCTTTTCATAAACACACATAGGCAAAGAAGCCTCATAAAAGGCCCTTACCCCAAGCACTAACCAAGGTTTTTTTCTACAACTTAGAAAAGCTGTAAGCCTTCAATTAGTGGATACTGAAGATGAGAAAATGCCTTTAAGCCTTAAAATAATACTGTGATATTTTAAAGTGTGTAATTTAAAAACAGAAAAGCTAGTCACCAATATTCATTCCCATTCTCCCATTATCTATTATGCTCAATAATCAGAGAAACCAAAAAGGAGGCCATGATTCTCCATCCTCTCTGACATATCTATGCTCTTGTTGCTACTAATAAAGCGACATTATGACATGTGATTGAGATGCAAACAAAGAAAACCATAAAGAACTACTCTTGCTGTTAATTAACCTGGAAATAAAAATAAGATGAAGAAAATTAAAAACAGCCAAACTAAAAAACAGAAAATCTTACAAGAGCTTTGAAAAAGATACCAACTTGATAGCTACAACACATAACAATTAAAACTGATTTTTTACACATTTTAACCAACCGATTTAATACAAATACCTGATTTATACTTTTACACTTAATGGGAGTCCCAAGTTCCAAAGTGTTCACATGACTCTACAGAGGGGATCTTTGGAAGGATAAGGTACCTTTGGAGAACAGTGTATAAACAATTGTAAACATACACTGATTGTCCACTAGCTTTCTTAAATAGAATTTCTGAAATATTTTTGTAGGAAATTATATATATAAGAGTGTAATTGATCAGATAATTTCTATTACAACATATAAATTCTGTTGTGTGTGCAAAATGTGGTAGAAATAGAAGATACAATGGATGATTTATATTTTTAAAGTAAGTGCTACATTACAATCTAGTAAGAGTCCTTTAATCTTTTCATGAAACTTCTCTCTATATAAATTGAAATACATAATGCTTTCTGGTTCTTCTTCAAACCAAAACTTGTCAAATTCATAGACGAGATAACCTGCGGTTACAGAAAAACAAAGCTATAGTCCTCAATAGTGAAATTACATTCAAACCATCTCATTTTTATAAAGTATACAACCATCCTTTAAATTCCATATTAGGATACAATAATCAAAAATAATCTTAAAATTATTAGAAACCTGAGGAACTTCATAAGAAATACTTTTGTATGTTCAAATTATTTAGTGTACATTTATTATTTGTCTCAAAAACCAATAATATCCCTCAAACTTGAGAGATGTAGTACTTTCAAAAGATACCTTGAAAACAGGAAAAAAGTTATCCCCAGAGATCCCTAAAGCACAAAAGTGAAAGTAATGAGAAAATGTTAGACAAGGATAAAATACAGGAAAGTGATTTTCCATTTGATTTCTAAATCTGAGTTATTTCTACTTTTTTCAATGAACAATCAGCATCTTTTCAGCATCTTTCCAAAAGAAAATGAGCACTCTGAATAGGCTTAATATTTTTGTTTTTCATACAGTAGCCAAATTACCCCCCAAAATGTTAAAAGTATTTCAAGAAACTAAACAGGTTTTTATACACACACATACATATATACGAACTTAAATGTGAATTTAAAACCACTCTACATCCAAATGTCTACCAGTAAGTGAATGAGTAAACACTGTGTAGCATATGATAGACTACTACTCAGCAATAAAAAGAAATGAGATAATTAGCCAATTTAAAAATTTTGTTTTAAATTAAAAAGTTTTTTTTCAAGTTTTAATTAAAAAGTATTAACATATCCAACAAATTATGCAGAAAAAAACAGACAAAAAAAGAGCATGTACTGTATGAGTCCTCTTAAACACAATTATAGAAATAAATGCAAACTCATCTATAGTGACAAAAAGACCTGTGGGTGCCTCAGAATGGTGGGGGAGGGGCAAGAGGCATGGATTACAAAGGACCATAAGGAAACTTTTGGGGGGGTGGGTATATTCATCATTTAGATCGCAGAGATGGTTTCATGGTTATGTATGTATGTTAAAATTTATCAAGTTGTACACTTTTAAATAGGTGCAGTTTATTGTATATCAGTTATACCATAAAAAAACAAAACAAAATCTAAATTAAAAAAGACCCTAAATCCTATTTTATATTCAATCAAATATATTTATTTATTTTTAAAAATACTTCTATTGTTCTGTGTGCTCATTTACTCTCACAGCAACCGTATGATGCAAGAACTATGTCATTATTTCCATTTTTATTGAGGAAGAAACAGGTGCAGAGAGGTTAAATGATGTGCCAAAAATCACATAGTTTGTAAGCAGTCTCTACTGTGTTATAAATTCGACTTCTGTTTTCATCAGAATCTCACTGCCCCTCCTAAAAGGCTTTTGAAGAAGGGAGTGAAGGAGCTCAGGAAAATTTACCCCAAAAGATGACTCTTTGGTATAAAGAATATTTTGAATTAAAGGCCATTGCAGATCAAAAAGCATTGGAAGGAGTTTTCCCTTTCTGCATAAACTGGACTGAACTAATTAAAAGATCAAAAGGGGCAATGACTTCCTTTCCTCTACCCTGTTATCCCTAATATATATTACAGGAAAGAAGATCGAGAATGCAACAGCGCTGGGGCATATTATTTTAAAGACAATATCTGTCTCTCTCGGGTTAGTTTACAAAGAGAATCATTTACAAGTCAATCTGTCTCCTCCATCCATTTGTCTCCCTAGCCCAATTTGTCACCCCTAAACAGAATTGTAATAAAAACATCTGAATAGGATATGGTAACCACTATGTGATTCTCCCATGTGCATGGTATAGGTAAACAAACCTTTTCGCCCCTCAATTGTGAGTTGATCTTTCAGTGAGCTTCCAGGAAAAGGGCAAGCTTCCCCCTCATCCTACAGGATGGGCATAATACCCCCAAATCCTCCAAAGTTAACAGTTTATGGGGAAAAGATACAGGACAGAGGTCATTTGTATTGCTTCCTTACCTACCACCCTCCCGTAATTTATTGAAATAGCAGTAAATGCTTGACTCAACAGCAGTCATTAACCAGGGAATTTCATTTTGTAGTGTACTGGGAAATGAATGCCCAAGAAAAACTAAATCTTAAATCTGCATGTGAAAACTGTGTCATTAAATGTATCAGCAAATATATAAAACTGAAAGTACAAAATCTACCTTGGGAATCATCCCACTATCCTGTCTTTCAAAGATCTTAAATGAATAAAATGAAATAACATAAATTAAATACTTCATAGGCGCATTATTACTAGATAAATACAATATCTACACTCCTAATCTAGAGGTTCTCTTAGATTTAGTTTTAACTCACTTTAATATCACAATAAACTGATGAAAGTGTCCATTGTTGGTATACCAGGAACAAGTTGTAGAGATGAAACTTCAAAGCTTCACTCTTCAGTAAGCTATAAGCCATCTCTGTAAGATTGATTCCAACTATGGCATAATGAA